TGAGCTGGCATCACCCCAAGGAGCCCTGTCAGCATCCCCTCATCTCGCTGCTTCCCCATAGATGGGTGACAAGGTTAGACCACGAGCACGCCTGGTCCGCTCTCGGTCTTCTAATGTGATTGTAAAGATGCTTTTTCTTGATTTCAGGTGCTATAAATTAGATTCTACGAATGTAGAATGAATTCCAGAGATTTTTATTTCTGCAGCGCAAATGTGCTCACTGAGTTCACATTGCCTCCGGTTTTATTTTGGCCATGCCGGCTGACCTTCCACTCGCTGGCCCATGCACCCACTGTGGTCAGCAGCGCTGGGAGCGGCCCCACCTCTGTCCTCTGGAAGGTGCGTCCCTGGCAGCCGCCCGTAGATGTGCATGAGATATTGGCCTGGTGGGGTAATTTGCACGGTCTTGCAGGGAGGGCATTAGCATATAAATAGCAGATGCAATGACGACCATCACAGCTGAGTACATTTAATTTTTAGTTTATAAGATAGAATGGGTTTTTAAATGCATAGCCATCAAGGCTGCTGAAAGACAAATGAAGTTGAGAGTTCACTTGTCTGACGATGCCTTACATCATTTTTTTTTTTTTTAAAAAGGGAAACAGACACACATAAAACTGAACAAAAGTGATTTCTTGGGTGAAAAGTAATTGAGATTGCGCGCCAAGTTAATTAGATCGTACAGAATTTATTTAATGGCCCAGCTGCAGTCTCGCGGCCGCATCGGCCCGAGTCGGCCGCCAGTGGGCGGCGGGGTTCCACGAGGTGCTTCCTCTTCCCCTTCCGTCTCCAATAATTAGCACCCTCCTGGCCACGTCCCCTCTGTAAACTGATTGCATTGTATATTTTAGCCATTTTATTGCTTGTTTAATTATGATCGTGGAGGCTCATTTTTCTAAATCCTTTTAACTGTGGGTGAGAATCAATTTGTCGGAAAGCAGCGGGGAGCCCGAGGCAGGCCTGCCTGGGGAGGGTCAGCCCTGCCACTGCGCCGCCCGCCCGCTGCTACCACCAGGAGCCTCTCTCTTCTCCCCCGGCTCAGGTGCTGGTAGGTGGCCCCTGACTGAGGTGCAGGAGAGTTGGGTGGGGCCGGCCAGAGGACAGTGGAGGACTGGTCAATCCACCCGCATCCCTTCCAGGCTGTGATGACTGACTGCATAGAGAAAGTGCCCGAGACTTTAGTTCTCAAGGAGGGGCACCCATTTTCTGCAGACAACGGGTGGGGGCCTGTTTTGTTTGGGGTTTGTTTTCCGTTTGTTTCCAAATTCAGATGCTCTGGAAGAAATTTGACAAGTTGACTTGTCATCTGGGGGCACCCTTTCAAAGGGCATCTGTTTCAGGATGGGCTGGACGGCCTGAGCGTGGCCTCTCACCATGGCCCTACCCCCACCCCCGCTGCCGGTGGCCATGAAAGGGTCACCTCCCATTCAGGGATGCTGCCGGCTACTGGTACGTCTGTCCCCACATGTCCATCAGGGCTGGCCTCGTCTGAAGTGCTCTCTTGAGAGGCAGGTGGCCACAGTTCCGTGAACCTTTTGGGGATTTGTTTTCCAGGTAGAAATGGGCATCTCCCTCAGGGTGGGGCTGCTTTCTGAGGGAGGTCTTGGGGAGATGTGGGCTTGGGCTCCCTGATTGCATGGCCTTTCCCTGCAGCAGGTCTCAGGAGCGCCCTGCCCGTGCCTGGTGCCCCCACATCGGGGTGCTTTCCTACCTCTGTGGGCATCATAACCACTTTGCGGTCCTCATGGCAGACAACCTGGGTCCAAGGTAGAAGGCACCTCTGTGGTTTCTGTGGTAGCTGAGTTTGTCCCATGTAGATGAACACTGGGAAGCCGGAGCTTTTGAGCTGATGTTCAGCCATCTCAGTTGGGTCTAAACCCTAAGGGTTTGATCCTTCGGCATGGGCTGTCCTGGCCTCCAGAGACCTTTAAGCTGCGGGTGGACAAGGTTTGTACCAGGCTGCTCTTCCTAAGGAGAAAGCTGGGGTCTCAGAGGAGAGGTTTGTCCTGAGGATCTGCCGGGTGGCTGAGCCCTAAGAGAGGCAGCCTTTGTGGTGGTCCTTGTGGGCCGGGCTGGGCCCCGTGGCCGCTTTGGCGCTGTTTACACGGGAGATAATGAACCTGCCTCTGTCCAGAAGAGCCTTGTCAGCGCTAATTTAGGAACCAAGAGGAGCCCGGGTTCCAAACTCAATCACAGGAATAAAACATCCTAGCCAGGGAGCGAGAGAAGATCTAACTCCTAATAACTCCTAATAGTTAGAGAAGCAGTGAAATATTTTTAAGGAAAAGGAACTGGAATGGCAGTTCCCGGGGAGATTCAAGGGTGTGAGTAGTAAGCACCATGCTTCATGAAAATGACCCCCATATTTAAAATCCGGCGTTCTGTGTTATGCATTGTAGCACCGAGCCCCACATCTACCTTTTCGAAAATTAAAACACATAAATTCTGTTTAGTGTTTGATACGCACGGCACGAACCGTGAGCCACAATGCCCGGGAACCTTGGCTGCTTTGCACCTTTCATAAATTCCTGGGTAGATTCTCTACAAAAATAATTTTCAGGTCCGCGGCTCATTGTTATTCAAACGTGATTGATCGTCGTCATTTGCTCAGCTCGGGAGTTAAGTGCCCCTGTCATTTCCAAAGAGTATAATTGGGATGTTTCACAGGTCAGCGGTGGAGACAGCCTTCCTTTTTGATCAGTGTTAGACTGATAACAAAAATTACGGTTCTCCGTGATTAATGCCTCCCGTGGCTCCCAGAGGCTCGGCCCGTGGGTTGTGCCCAAACAAAGTGCATTTGCATCCCAGCAGGCCTCTCAGGGCAGGGACTCCTCACGGTGGCATTCCGGGTGCAGCAGGTACGGCCGGCCAGATGTGGCCTCCGGAGCCCAGGCCCCCACAGCCGCCCCACATGTGGTCTGAATGCAGTATGTCACTGTGGACGTCCATCTTGAACTTACTTGGATTTGCTTTCCGGTGACCAGTTGGATCCCATCCTCAGGGTCTTGAGGGTCGGGGTCTCCAGTCTTCCTACGTTTCAAAAACAGCCATATTTGTATGTGTGTTGGTGCCAAGACTTAATTACAAATAAGGCCTGGTCAAAATGAGTATGTTTTTCAGAGTTTGGTCTTAGAATGGTCAAAGGGCCCTGCTGGCCATGTTTTCTCTTCATAGTCATTGGTATTAATCTAACAGAGACCTTCCTTTCTCAATACAGGCAGACTACTGCAAGCATGTGCTTGCCGCAGTAAAGCGAGTCATACCATTTTTGCTTTACAATAGATTATAGCCTATTAAGGAGTCCTGGTGTAGCGCTGTGGGTTAATGTGTTGGACTGCAGAGTCATTTGAACGGCAAGGTTGACAGTTCAAGCTCACCAGCCGCTGTTCAGAATCCCTATACAGGATCGCTGTGGGTTAGAACTGACTCAATGGCACTTAACAACAACATAGCCGATTAAATGTGCAGTGGCATCATGAAAAATGTTTAAAATAGCGTGGGAATGACCAAACATGACAGAAACATGAAGTAAAACACATGCTGTTGGAAGCACGGCACCATGGACTTGCTCGACAAAGTGTTGCCACACAAACCTTCAATTTCTAAAAATCGCAACATGTGCGCCCTGCAGTACAGCGCCGCTCCATACTCCATGGCCCGCCTCTACCTCCTGCAGTGAGTGGGGCATGGCCGCGGAAGGGCTCTGTGGCAGCACCCAAGGCTTCTTCAGCCCCAACTGACTGTAGCTCCACTGGCCCCGGCAGGTTCTTTCTGCTTCTAGGCAGTGGCTGGTGTGGGGAGCAGAGCACGGAACCTCAGGGTCCCGAAGTAGTTTAGGCAGCGCGTGGCTCAGGGAGGACAGGTGGAGTTTCTGTGAAGAGTCCCATGCATCCTCTGCTCCGGAGACCTGTCTTTGCCCTGGTTTCCATGGAATCACTGATAGGATCCGGGGTACAGGCAGGCAGGGAGGACAGGAGCTGGCTGATGAGGGGGCTGCTTCTTGCAGAGCCTGCTGCCACTTGATGTGGTCCTAGGTCTACCTAAGACTCCTGGTCCATGTGGCGCTGGAGGATCAGCACTGGACTGCAAACCACAAGGTCCGCAGTTCGAACCCACTAGCTGCTCCTTGGAAACCCTATACAGGGTCACTACAAGTCAGAACTGACTTGACGGCACTTAACAACAATAATTAGGTTCATCTAGAGCTAGTGCAGGGTCATGGGGACTTGGAGTCCAGCGGTTGGACAACCTCCCTAGCCTGTCTCAGATGACAGGATGACCGGAGAGCCAGCGGCCTGTGGAATTCTGACCTGGGAGGACCTGAGGGGCCTGCTGGGCCCACCACCAGGGGCACGGGGCCCTATTCACAAAGCAAGGACTAGGGGCGGGTGAGAAGAGTGGGGACTTAGGGAGGGGCTGGGGTGAAGATGTGGAGAAGGATTGCGGATTTGTAAGGGGCCACCTTTTCCTATTGTAAGGCTAGGACGCATGGAATCCTCAGGTGTCCTCTCCCCATCCACAGTATGTCCACTAGGTCAACCCTGACCCAAGATGGTCTGGTCGGAGGAACAGCACTATGGTTTGGCTCTGCTTTAGTATTTTTAAGGCTAAACTGCTCCAGGAGTGCCGTCACCCGCTGGCTGCTGGCTGTCTGTGAGGCACTTGTCACTCCCAACACCTGGAAGGGCCTGCCCCTGTCCCTGTCCCCATCTGCCCTGAGGTGGGCGGTAACTGCCCCTCTGACTGCAGCGGACCCTGCTCTCTTACTGGGCAGGTTAAAAAAGTGTATCTGCCCAGTAGTGAAGTAGTGCTCGAGAAGACGACCTAGGTGTTCAGAAACGCGTGAGCATCATAGCCTAACCTTGGGAACCACTTGGAAATTTAACCCCACCGTAGATGTGGCTGAAACTCTTAACTCAGGAAACAAGAGATAATGTTCTCCCGGGAGCTGCCTGGCTGGACAGCTGGGGGTTCATGTGCCCTTGGCATTGTTCCCCTAGACAACGTTCCTGGAGGACGGGAGTGAAGACGAAGAGGAAGAGTTTGTGGAGGTTCCAGAGAAGGAGGGGTATGAGCCCCATATCCCAGACCACCTTCGGACTGAGTACGGTAAGTGCCAGGGGTGATGGGGGGCTGTGAGAGACCCGATTTCCAGGGGTGATGGGGGTCTGTGACATACACACTCCCCAGGGGCAGTGGGGGACTGTGAGAGACCTGCTCCTCATGGGCTGTGGGGGGCTGGAACGGTGACCCAGGAGGACAAAGGGGAAGAGAGGAGTGGGGTGTAGCCCCAGAAGGAGCTTCTTGAAGCTGTAGACCCAATGACAGGTTGGGCTTGGGGCCCAGTGGAAGGCGGACCTGGGCCTGGAGGAGACAGCGGTAGGCATGAGCGTGGCATGGGCCTAGTCCCTGCAGCACGGGGGGTCTGCTTTGTTTGTGCTTGTGGCCCTGCTCCTGACATTGTGGTGAGCCTGGAGGAAGGATGTGTAGCCAGGGCAACTTGTGGGCGCTCTGCTCTCACATAGATGGGCTGGTGTCCCTTCCTTTCCTGCCATTGTCTATCGTCCACTCACTGTGGGCACCTGTGGTAGAGGCAGGGGCAGCCCTGCGAAGCCGTAGCTGGGCCGGTGACACATTTCTTTGTGGGGCACTGGTTGTCTGCATAGAACAGGGCCCCAGAGAACACACACACACACAAGCTGCCTGGGGCATGGGAGGAGCCATGTCCTGTCCCTGGGTCGATGGCCTTCAGGCACCTCTGTTCTAGGGTTGCTCTGCTGAGGGACAAACGTGCTCAACCCTGGAGGTGCCCTCAGAGCAGGAAAGTGGCTGGTCCCCAACAATCTGCTTCCGGAGGAAAGGGTCCTGCTAGGGAAGCTGTGTGGTCCTGTGACCTGAGAGTGGATGGGTGGAGTAGTG